CCTCCTTATACAACCTGTGTCTCGGCCTGCAGTGACACTGTCCCACCCTGGAGGTGACTGGCAGCACGCAGCTCAGCTGCCCACGTGTTCACCCAGGGTTCCTCCTCACCACAACGCATCACAGAGCTGACATTTGCTCTGAGTCAGGCACGCATTCACACCCCATGGAGAATTTCAGGCCCCGTTTGCTATCCTGACGCCCCCAGGAGAGCCTCAAACAGGAGAGTGCTTTCCATTGAGGCAACTGAAGAGCAGCAAGTCATAAAAGTCCTTTTTTTCCAGCCACTCTCCCGTTCCCCTCTGCTTGTCACAAGTACAGTTTTATGTGGAAACCATCTCCAAACAGTGGAAACAGTACATCTGGTGCATTCGTCCCTGCACAAAAAACCAATTTAGTTTGGAAACTGTGCCATTATCTCTAATGTTCTCCCAGAGATGCAGAGAGGATAAATGGTTTTTTCTCCCCATCCACGACAAGCCCAGCTCTTTGGCCCGCAACGCACAGCCCTGCAATGCTGGGACAGGAAAGCTGGCACCTGCACACAGTCACACAGCAGCTCCTGCACCCTCTGGGGACGCTGTGTGTGGTTTAAGATAGCAATTTCAAGCCTTATCACGATAGCCTTATCTTTAATTAGCTGGTGTAACAGCCCCGCTCCGATAGAGGAAGCGCTGCTCCGCTTTGCAGGCACGCAGGGCACACAATCTGCCATCCAGGCTTTCCCTGCTCCCGAAATGCCCCTCCTGTCCTGCTGATGGGTGCACAGAAATCAGTGCTGTGCTCAGAGATGGGTGCTGACAGCCCAGACAGCTGTAAGGTGATGCACAGCGCTGTGTAATGGCCTTCTTTTGGGGAAGAGAACACGAGCCTAACTTTCTGCATCTGGTTTAAAGCCAACAGGATGGAGCCCATCAACTCATTGCAGAGTTTTTAAGCAGCTCCTGGAGCACGAAGGTGACTCAGAGGCCCCTCAAAGACCTCAGCGTGCCACCAGCACTCAGAGCCACCCAGGGAAGCACAGCCACGGGGAAAAAGCGACCCCCGGCCCCTTCTGCACACACAGCACAACAATGCTGACCCGTGAGCGCTGAGCCCTGAGCTCAAGCATTGGGAATTCACACCTAACAGCGGGACATCGGGCAGCTCATTCGCAAAGCAGCCAAGCCTTCCGAGGAATCACTTCGTCTTCTCTTGACAGGCGCAGACCGAGCGCTGCCCAGCCTTATCCCGCTATTCCACACCAGCTCTGTGTTTTCCCATCCCGGCCAACCCCCGGGACACGGAGCGGGGCGAAGCGCAGCTCCCGAGATACCGAGAGACGCCTTGAGGCTCCAACCGCGCAGCCCCCCCGGGCAGCCCCCGCCCCGCCACGTACCGGGATCCACCTCCCCGCTCCCCCCCTTCCCGGCCGTGGCGGCGGTTCTCCCCGGGGAGGCGGGACGAGGCGCCGAGCCCGCCCCCACCCGGGCCCCGGAAGCGCCGCCCGCCCGCTCAGCGCAAGGCTTGGGCGGGCCGAGAAGGCCGCGTTCCCCTTCCTGACCCGACCGTGCCGGCTCCGCCGCTCCCCCCGCACGACAACCCCCGCCCAGCCGCGCCCGACCCCGCCTCGGACCCGCACAGACCGGCCGAGGCGGCGGCGTCGGCGGCTCCGACCCCCTCACGGCGCCATCTTCCTCCTGCGGGGCTGCTCGGGCACCGCCCTGCGCGACCCGCCCTCTCGGCGGTCTCCTGCCCAATCTCCGCCCGGCTCTCGGGCGCTGACCAATCAGCTAGCGCCGACTTCTTGATCGGCAATTCCGCAGAGCAATGGGACGCGGTGATGGAGAGACTGCTCCGCCAATGGGAGCGAACTGACAATATGACGGACGGAAGCGGAGATCCAATGGGAGGGAGAATCTCTGATTAGCATCTCCATTGGCCAATGAGAGCGTGCGGAGCCCATCACCATCCTCTGATTGATTGACAAGGTCCTGAGGCAGGAAGGCGGATTTCCTCCTGGGCGGGAGCTGCCAGAAAACACTCTCACGGTTGGCTACCACCAGTATGATTGACAAGAAGAGAGACCAACAGGAGGAGCGGGGGGGTGCTCCGCGCCGCCCGGGATTGGCTGCGCGCCCGGCGGCGGATCCCGGCGCTTTCAGCCCGGTGAGGGCGCGGGGTCCCGGCGGGGCCGTACCGGGACGCGTCTCGGCTGCTGGGGATCCGCCGAACTCCGACCAGCGGCGACGTCCCTCACTACCGCCCGAACGCGGGACCAGGCCCGCAGCGCTGAAGCCCCCGCGGTTCTCCCGGTGCCCCCGGAGGCCGAGGGGGGGTCCCAGCCGGTGCCCGCCCTCCTCCGGCCCCCGTTGGCCCGGCCCCCCCCCGCTGGAGCCAAATAATTGCTCGGCGCTTTGTTGTGCGGTGTCTATGGCCGCGGGGCCTCCATTTGTGGGAACTTGCTGCGGCGAGTGCCTCCCTTCTAATTACCACCCCCTCCTCTCTCTCTGCTTACTCACAGCGCCCGGCCCCGCCGCCTCCGACCCCCGCCCCGGCCCCCCCGGTACCGACCCGGGCTGGGGGTCCCCGAGGCAGGGCAGCTTCTGAGAGGAAACCCATCAACACAGTGGAGTGGGGATCCTGGGGCGTGGGGATGTACGGCTCATCCACGTCCCGTGTCAGAGCAGCATCCCATTTCAGACCCACATCCCACCCAGCATCCCCCTCCCGCATAGCCTTGCATTCAGGTACCCCCAGTGCTCCCCTGGCACCATTTCGCCCAATGGGGGGACGAGGGGCAGCTGCCTGCATTGCCCACCCTGCACTGCCCACCCTGCACTGCCCACCCTGCATTGCCCACCCTGCACTGCCCACCCTGCTTTGCCCACCCTGCACTGCCCACCCTGCACTGCCCACCCTGCGCTGCCCACCCTGCGCTGCCCACGCTGTGCTGCCCACACTGCACTCCTGCCCAAACGAGTCCCAGCCTGCCGCTCCCTGCCTCAGTTTCCCCAGGCAAGCAGTGACGCCAGCTTTCGGCTGCAGGCCCGGCACGGATGCAAGCAGGCACACGGGGATGGGGATGTCCTTGCCGTGGGTTGAGGGAGTAAACGTGGGTGGGTTTGGCATGGTAAAGGGAGAAGGTTTCCTGGCAATGGGATCCCTCAGCTCTTTGTCCAATGTCCTCGTCCCCAGTGTGTTTGGCTGGGACACAGGGACAAGGGGCTCTGTAGTGAGGCACAGAATGGGACTGCGCAGATGAGCGCTGCGACCTGGGGACATGGGGACACAGCTCCATGCAGTGAGGCTGGGAGGGGTCACAGCGAGGCAGGGGACAGAGACATGCAGAACAGCACCAGGACACACCACAGGGCCCCAGCCGGGAGCCCTGCAGGACCTGGAGCTGTTGTGTGGGGGGAGGGCACGCTGTTCTCTGTGGGTCCCCATCCCCACAGCTCCCCATCCCCACAGCTACCCAGCCCCAGCCCCCTCTAGCCATCCCCATGCCCGGGGCTGCTGGCAGCTGCTCAGAGCCCACATGCAATTAAGGCAATTAGGGCACCTCCACAGCCCGCCAGCCCATCTCTGCTGAAATCATTAAACCATTCTTAATGATTTCTTCGAAGAATTAGCAGGCGGTTTGCAGAGCCCCTGCCGGGGGGGTGGCAAAGCCAACCTGGGGACGGGGACGGTTCCGTCACCGCTGCCTGGGGGCCCTGACGTCAGCCCCGCGCTGCTTCCACACCTTTGATCCACGCCATGCACCAAACCTGTTCCTGCATGGCTGGGCCAGCCCTGCCCCCCCCCCCCCCACCCCCCTAAGCTCCTGGGGGCTCCGTGCATGGGGAGGAGGCGGCGATGGCACGACCAGGTGGCACCTGTCCGTGGTGTGGCTGCGTCTCCAGCACAGCCACGTGTCCCCATCCACATCCCCAAAGCAACCATTGCGTCCCCAGTGCACCCATACATCCCCAACCCTGGAGCAGCCACATCCCCAGTGCGGCCCCATCCCCCAATCAGCCACACGTCCCCAGTTGTGGCTGTGTGTCCCTATCTCTGGCTGCTCCCCTCTGCCGTGCCAGCAGGGTTTCCTCGCGTGGTGACGGCCGGGCGGACGCAGATATGCAGGGAGATTACGTGAGGCTCATTAAAATCCAGGCTTGAATCATCGCGGACTGTCAGCTCCTCGCAGGGCAGGGGAGGCTGTCGTGCTGCAAAGGTTGAATCCCGACAGCAGTTCCTGCTCAGGTGAGAAATGCAGCCCCGGGGCACGCTGCCACCTGGCACAGCCGCGGGCAGAGGAGAGCATCGCGATAATCCCAGAGATATCTTTGTGTAGGGCCCTTATGGGGGACCAATAGGGCAGCAGCAGGAGGCCTGTGGGGTGGGGGAAGGACAGGGATCTTGCTGTGCCCTGAGCTCTGTGCCAGGCACGGGGACAGGGACGGCACGGGGACGCTGTGCCGTGGGTGCTGGGGGTCCCAAGGGTTTCAGGCACTCGTCTCACTCACAGACCCCTTCGCTCCGGCTTTGTGGGCACACAGGGCCAAGGTCAACCCATGGGGCTGCGCCCATCCACTGCCCCCCCAGGTCCACGTGTGCCGTCATCCCCAGCGCCGTGCCTGGAGCTGCGCCACTGCCGGCAGCACAGCCCCCCCGGGGCCGTCTGGGTGCCGATCCAGGCGCCTGTCTGAGCCCCCCCAGGGAACTCCCCTGAGGCCGAGGCGATCCAGACGGCGCAGCCCCATGGGATGGGATGGGACCGGCTGCCATCACCCCAAGGCAACCCCTGCACAGCCCCCCCTGGAACCTGCTGGCAGGCACACAGCTCAGCACCCGGCACCTTGGGCAGGTGCAGGCACACAGGGGTGCAGGCACACAGCACGGCACACACGGCTGGAAGCACACAGCGCTGCACACACGCAGATGTTCGCGCACCGCTCGTTCCCAGCGTCCCGCCAGCCCCGCTCCCCTCACAGATCCCAATTTGTTTTATGACAGCAAAGGAAATTGCCGTCAGTTCCCCACAGCCGGGAGCCCTTTGAAGTGCTCTGCCCGGGGCCCGGGAGGGGCCTCCCCCGCCGCCTCGGGGCGCCCCCCCCCCTCCCCACCGACCCCCCATCCTTCTCTCTCTCCTCGAGCTGGGGGACACATCTCCTCCTCCCCCATCCTTCTGTACCCTTCCATTTCCAGATGGGCACAGGGCTGCTCCCACCTCTTGCAGGGCTGTGCCTCATCACCCCCCCCCTCACCCCCAGCTGCTATTTAGGGGCCACAAACCCCTGCTGAGCCCTGGGGGCCCGGCCCTGGGTCGCATCACCCATCAGCCGGAGCAGCTCCAGCGCACGGAGGGATTCGAGGCATTTTCCTCTTTGCCTTGTAATTTATGCAAATGGGCTCTGTAATTAGCCGTAATTTCAAGGCACTGCTCGGGGTTTCAGACGTTCCATGGCAAGGAGATGAACCCCCCCTTCCCGCATCCGCCATCCTCCTGCATGAGAGTCATTCCTTCCATGGGTGGTCCCAACAAAGTGCTGCTCATGGCACTTCCAGGAACCCCTGCCCTGATCAGCCCCTGCTCCAGCCCCATCCTCCCAAGCCCCCCCAGTCCCCTGTTGCTGCACCAGGGGGTCACACCATACCTGATCCTTGCTCTGCAGCACACTCTTGGCCGTGTCTTGGTGTCCCATAGGGAATCCAAAGGCGCTGATGGAGCGAGGAATTGCAGGGGGGGGGGGGCAACCCCACTGCGATCCGTGGGACCGGAGCCCTCATCAGGACTGATCTGTTCCCGTTCCACCAATCCCAGAGGAATGGGGAGGCTGGGACCCTGCAGTCAAGGGACGTGAGATGCGCTGCCACGTGAGGGAAAAACACAGCGGTTCCCAACAGCTGAGCAACCTGGGGGCTGCATCCCCACCACCCACCTCCGCCCATCGGGGCGCTGCAACCAGGATCAGGACTGGGGCCGGGATCCCCCTGCATCCCTCCACGTGCCCCATGTGGATCCACGGCTCTGTGCACACTTGAGGCCACGTGTTTACAGCCGGCAGCAGCTCACCCCATTGCTACCCATCCCCTCCACGCCGGGCGTCCCCGCGGTGCGGCAGAGCCGGGGGTCACCGCGCTCCTCCCCCCACCCTCAACGGCGTTTCGGCGGTGGCGGCAGCGCCGTCCCATCCCTGCACGCTCTGCCGGGACCCACGCGATGATGAAAACCAGCAGAGTTTCCCCCAAGGCAAAGGAGTTCCCGCACCCGCCGCCCGGCCGGGCGCTTGGCAAGCACCGGGAGCTGCGGGCTCCCACGCACCGCATTGGCCAGCAGGGCTGCAGGTGGGCTCCCGGCTCCAGCAGGGTGCTGGTGTACAGGGATACCCTCCCTGATGGCTTTGCAGTGCTCAGCAGCCAGCCCTGCTCCGCGACGGGGACGTCGGCTTTAGAAATGGGGTCGTGACACCCAAGCTGCTCCATTGAGGTGATGCCACCTGGGAGCCCCCCCCCGCCCCCCCGGGGTCCCAGCAGCTCCCGGTGCTCACAGCCTCCATAGGGACTGGGATGGGGCCAGGAGGGTCGGAGCCCACAGCTGAGTATAGACAGGCTCCCACTCAGCTCTTTGAGCTGCATCTGGGGCACGGTGGGATGTCTGTACCCCACTCTGATTTGCCATGAATCCATCGCCAGCCCTGACACGTCCATGTCCCATCCACCCCACGGCACAGGGATGAGTGGGGACACTGCGTCCCCTCTGGTGGCACCCGCGGGGCAGGGGCTTGTCACCACCCGGGGGGCTACAGGGCTGTCCAGGCTGGGCCGGCTGCCGACGGGGCACAGGAGGGCGGAAGGAGGAGGGCGGCCATAGGCGCAGGAGGGAGGAGGTGGTTGTTGCTTTCTTCTTTTAATTACCCCCTGTTTGCGGTGTCTGCTGCGAACTTCCCGTCCCCTCCCTCCGCTTTCATGCGCCGGATCCCGAGCTGGGGACGAGGCTGCTGTCAACCGCCCGGGCTCTGCCTCCAAGGGTTAAAATCACCTGGGCCAGGTATAGGGGTGGAGCTGGGAAGGTGGGGAGGGAGGGAAGAGCCGGCGCGCGGCCGGGACCCACCATTCCTGCTCGCCCGGCCCAGTGGGTGCCCGGTCCCTGGGGAACCGTGCGGGTCCCTCGGGGGTCCCTCGGGAGCCAGAGCCGCCCGCCCGCCCCCGCCGATGAGGACGGAGCCGCCGGGAGCTCGTTGCTGCCTTTAGACCCGTACGTACCGCGCGGCGCCCCGACGTCACCGGCACCGCTCCGGTGGTCCCGAATGCGGGGATCCCGGTAACTGCGCTTGGGAACGGGACCGCGCCGCTCCCCGCTTTGCCCGAAACCCCCCCCCCCCCCCCGATCCTCCCGGCCCCCGCCGTTCCCGCTGCGGTCCGGTCCCCGCTTGGGGCTGCGGCTCTCGGGACAACCGGGGCCCCTCCGCTCCGCCCCGCCCCGCTCCGCCGCGGCCCCGGGGAGTTTCGCTGCGGTGCGCGGAGCCCCAAACCGCGGCATCGCCCCGCAGCGCCGGGATCGCCCCCGCAACCCCGGCGCTGTTCCAAACCCGCGGCATCCCCCGAACTCGCGGTATCCTCACGCGTGGAGCCCCGCGGGGTTGCGGGTGTCCGGCCGGGCGCGGGCCGAGGGCAGCGGCTGCCGCCCATCCCCGCCGCGGGGCGCGGCCCCGGCTGCGAGTCGGGCAGAGCCGCTCTGCCCAGCCCGGCCCGTGACTCAGAGCGCATCACCGCCGCTGCCTCAGTTTCCCTGCGGTAGAACGGCCGCCGCGTCGCCGCCGAACCGCGCCAGGGAGGGACAGCGCGTGGCCCCCGGGCTTCTGCCGTCATCTTCGGATGGAAAAACGCCACCGGAGCGCCTCCGTGGCCGGGCGCGGTGGGACGGGGCTGTGGGCTCTGCCCCATGGTTGAGGGGTGCGCGGTGGGAGCTGCCCGGCACCCGCGCTTTCCTTCTGCCTCCGGCTCCTTCTTTTGGTTTTGGGCACTGGGGGGATCGGGCTCGCGTTGCCGGACCCCCCGTTCCCAGCTCCGTGTGGCCCCACGCGACGTTGGTGGCTGCCCCATACCCTGCGATGGGCCGTGGGGCTTTGGGACCCCGGTGCGGTCTCAGTCCCCGCTGGGTGCCAGCCCTCACCCCTCTCCTGTCGTCCCGCCGTGGTGTGGACGGTCCTCGGAGTGTTGGGGACGATCGATACCAACCCTCCCCCACGGGGCGGAGCAGAGCCGAGCGCAGGTGGGGAGCAGCACCCCCAGCCCTTGGGGGGGCTCATGCTCCAGCTCGGGGCTTCTATAGCAGGTGGAGATGGGGCTCCATATGTTGGGGGGGGGCTTTGGTACCGTGGGGTCCCCCACCTCAGAACCGGGGAAAGCGGCGTCCCCATGGGGCTGGGGGCTGCCCCGGGGATCTCCAATGCTGGGGCACCATGGCGCTGGGGATGGAGGCTGTGCAATACGGCCCGAAAGCATCACTGCATCCCTGGGGGTTTGTCCCCATCCCACAGTGGGGGTGGTGGGAGGCAGTGCGGCTTCGCTCCCATCGCCCTGGAGGTGTTGGGAAGGGGCTGCGGGTGGAGGGGGGGGGGGAGGTCCGGGCACCGGTGGGAAACCGGGGAGGGGGGGCGGGAGCCGGTGGCGGCAGGTGGATTTCAACACCGGGGTGGGGCCGGGCCCCCGTGGGGTTGTGCGGCTCCGGTGAGTCACGGCTGCGCTGCGGGGAGCAGTGGGTGCCCGGGGGCTGCGGGTGCGTGGCCGGGGGCGAAAGCAGCCCCGAGCCCGGCTTCAAAGCGGTGCCGGCGGCCGAGCCCCAAGGCTCCCTGCCCTGTCCCGCTGCCATCCGGCCCGGAGCTGCGTGTCCCCCCGCCTGCGTTCCGCCCCCACAGCAGCGCATGGGCTCGTGGGTGCCGTGTTCCTATGCTGTAGGGTGAGGCTTTGGGGCTCGGCCGGGCGGTAGGGCAGGGTTTAGGGCACTGCACCCCGCAGTGCTGCGTTTGGGGGACGCGCGGCACGGAGGTGACGAGGCAAAGCCCCGTGGCTTCCTCAGCTTTGGGAATTCGGGAGCAGGTCTGTGGGGACGGCACCTGGGGACCGGTGGGGTGCTGCTATCCGGTACCGTCCAGGTGTCACACCGGGTGCGTGGTGGGGAAATACCCTCAATGGGGTTACGGGTGCTGGGGACGCTGCCTCGGTGGGGCTGGCACCCATAGCACAGCATGATCCATGCATGGGAACTGCCGCCTGCTTCATCTTCCCTCTGTGCGAGGACGGGAATCGGGGCCACCACCGGCGTCAGCCCCGCACGTGGCCATGGGGACACACCGGGGGGGGCTGGTTGGGAAGGGGCCCGCTGGGGCTCAGGGTACGTCCACCTCTCACCGCTCTTCTCTCCCCCATCGCTCCCCCTCCCCCGGCCCCGCAGGTCTGTCTGCGCCTCCGCCCGCGCCGCCGTCCGGCAATGCTCACGGCTGTCTGCGGATCTCTTGGGAACCAGTCCTCCGACGCGCCCCGCGCCTCGCCGACCCCCCTGGACCTGCAGCCGTTGCAGCCCTTCCAGCCCCCCCCGCCGGGCGCCGACTTCGCCTCTCCGCTGCCTCCCCCGGAGCTGCCGTTGCCGGGCCCCGACGTCGCCTTCGCCGCTCCAGGCACCTACGACCCCCATGGCCCCCCGCGGATAGAGCTGCCTCCCGACGGCCCCGCCGCCACCGGTTCCTACGCCAAGCTGCTGCAGGCGGCCCCCCCGGACATGGCGCACCCCTACGAGCCCTGGTTTCGGCCCCCCCCACCCCGCTCCCTCCGGAGAGGAGGGGGGGGTCAACTGGTGGGACCTCCACGCCGGGGCCAGTTGGATGGAGCTGCCCCACACGCAGGGGGGTCTCCAGGTGCCCGCGCCCCCCGGCCTGCAGCCGCCCCTGGGGGGGGTACGGAGGGGGCGAAGCGCAGCTCTGCGCTCCCCCCGCCCATCTGCTGCCCCCTGCCCAGCACCTGCTGGGGCCGGAGGGGGCGAAGGCGTTGGAGGGCCCCCCCCAGCCCGAAGCGGAGGGAGGCGGGCGGGCCAAAGGGGGCCGCCGGGCGGTGCCGCGAGGCGGGGGGCAGGCGGCGTGCCGTTGTCCCAACTGCCAGGAGGCGGAGAGGGGGGGGCCGTGCCCCGAGGGCTCCAAGCGCAAACACCTGCACAACTGCCACATCCCGGGCTGCGGCAAAGCGTACGCCAAGACCTCGCACCTGAAGGCGCACCTGCGCTGGCACAGCGGCGATCGCCCCTTCGTCTGCAACTGGCTGTTCTGCGGGAAGCGCTTCACCCGCTCCGACGAGCTGCAGCGGCACCTCCAGACCCACACGGGCACCAAGAAGTTCACCTGCCCCGTCTGCGGCCGCGTCTTCATGCGCAGCGACCACCTGGGCAAGCACATGAAGACCCACGACGGCGGCAAGGAGGGCGGAGAGCCCGACGTCAAGGGGAGCAACGAGCCGCCGGGGGGCAAAGGGGGCAAACGGGAGCCCGAGGGGGGCACGGCCGCCCCCACAAACTGAGCGGGTGCCGCGGATGGGAGAGGGGGGACGGCGACCCTCGGGGCTGGTCTCCGGGGGGGGCTGCCGCTGCTCGGTGCCGCTCGGTGCCCCGGTGGGAGCGGCGATGCCCGCGGGCGGTTTCGCTCGTCCCGCGCCCGCTTTCCACCCCCCCCCCCCTCCTCCCTCCTTCCACTCCGGTTTCCCCAATGGTATTTTGGGAGCTGCTGGCTGGCGGCTCGGGAGGAACATCAATGGGAGCCGAGGAGCCGGAGCTGCCCAGGCACGTCCGGCCGAGAGGGGCGGAAAGAGAGGGAGAAAGCGAGAGAAAGCCCCGAGCCCTCAGCCCTGGAGCGTGGCTGCAGCCCCGCGGCCCCTCCCGTGCACCCCCCCCAAACGCTCCGGGCTTCAGCCCCGCGACCCCGCTGGGTTTCAGCCCCCATTGCCGTGGCGCTGCGTGGGGCCGGGGGTCTATTTCTCCACGCGGGTCCCATAGCCCACCCTATTGGAGCCTCATACGGGGTGGGAGGGGGCTGCAAATCCCTCTTTCTTTTCTTTTTTTCTTTTGGCCTCCATTTAGCCCAAACGGATGGGATGGCTGTGGGGAGGGGGCGGATACGGGGAGGGGAACGACCCAAATTGAGGCCAAAAAAAAAGAAAACAAGAAAAGAAGGGGGGGGGGGAAAGAAATAATGATAA